AAAATTACCTGCTTTCAGGTCAAATTTTTGAAAGGATCACGGTATGCCATTGCTTCAAAAATGTATAGGAGTAACAAATGAAGCTTACACATTATCAATAAGTTAAAGTTAGGAAGATAAATGGTTGCAGACCTCAGCTACAAGCTTTCAGGTAAGGCGTGTCGGCCTCCGAAATCATGGAACGGACTACTTTCTTTCGCGGAAGGAAAATAAAACTGCCTCGAACTCTCGACGTGGCGTGGCGGCTGTAGTGATGTGACCCGTGTCAAGCCATATACATGATCCTGCCAAATACATGACGTGTTGTTGTGATGTGGGAGACTAAACCTAACCTAACTCCAATCGTAAGTCTAACCATAGCCCTGAACAACTCTATCCCTGTAACTCTAACCCTAACCCTAATTCAGAGCTAACTCTAGTACTAACCCTAACCCTAACTCGGAGCTAACTCAAGTACTAACCCTAACCCTATTAAACTCGGAGCTAACTCTAGTACCAACCCTAACCCTAACTCAGAGCTAACTCTAGTACTAACCCTAACTCTAACTCAGAGCTAACTCTAGTACTAACCCTAACCTAACCCTAACTCAGAGCTAACTCTAGTACTAACCCTAACCCGAACTCGGAGCTAACTCTAGTACTAACCCTAACCCAAACCCTAACTCAGAGCTAACTCTAGTACTAACCCTAACCCTAAGCCCAGAACAATGATCCCAACTCTAACCCTAACCCCTAACCCTAGCCCTAAACACCTGACCTCTCACGTATGTGGCAGCTCAAGGATTTGGCTCAACACCGTGTATATGACAGGTTACCTGGTGATGTGACCGAAAGGGTATTCCTTCTACCAAATATTGACACGTGGAGGGTGTATTGTACTCACCTGTAAACAGATATACTCATTTGACAGCTAACTTCCGTTGCGCTCAGCGCAAATATTTAATACACATATATGTTACGATTAAAAGTTAACAATTACATGTAAACAATTACATTACCTAATTGCTATTGTTGCCATCTTGGGTCTTGCCATGTAGTAAGGCCACACGAAGTAATTTTTATGGATGACGTCCTCTGGAGACCCTAAATCTAATGCGAGATTGTGAAAACAAAACAAGAAGGCAGAAAAAAAGTTGCATAGATTTGAAATATACTAAGTGACAACAAATGTTAGGACACAAATTGAATGAGAGAACACAGTGTAATAACCAACAAGTCTTTTATTCGTCATGAAAACCAGTGGAACAGCAGTTGTCTGTTCCTCTCCTTTCATCACATCTTGCAATTTGCAGCACTGTCTTAACTCTTCGGTCATAGTTACAGGAAGCGGAATTTCTTTTTTTTTCAGGGAATAGGCCAAAATCAATGCGCGCGGACGTCATCCATAAAAATTTCTCCCTGTGGCCTAGAGGTAATATTTGTGTACCCCAGGCACTGTCTACTCACTGAAAGACCATCTCTAAAACAACACAAATGTTTGCTGTTGTGAGCCTATGGCCACAGCAAGTAAATGTTATGGATAACATCCTCCGCAGACTCTAAATCTAATGCGAGCGGGCGAAAAAAAAAAGCGGGCTGAAATAAAAGGTTCCTACATTTTCAAATTTTGACTGAATCATTGTACAAATAATTCTTATTCAGTGGGAACATCACATATCACTGCATCAAAGTAAGAAACAAAACAGCCTTTTCTTGTCTCCTCTCTTTACAGTTATCTGCTATCCACCTTCAGGCATGGCAACAGACATCTTTGCCCATTTTCGGCATGTTGACCACTGTCAGAGGGCAACAAAATTTCTTTTTTTTTCCAACATCAGGTAAAAAGTAATGCGCTGATGTTACTTGAAATTACTTGCTGTAGCCTAAGAGGCAACCTGACGACATCGGTCAACTCTTTCATGTTGTTTTTTTTTTTTTTTTTATTATTCCGAAACATGTAATCACAAGACGTGGTGACGGCACACTCAAGTTTTTTCAACTTATAATAATGCCGCCACCAACACAGGGACAGTACAATACTCATTTACACCTGAGCGAAGTGAGGAAAGTCGTGTAAAGTGCCTTTCCCAAGGGCACAAGATCGGTGGCATGTCAGGACTCGAACCCGGGGCCACTGGTTCCGAGTCGAGAACGCTGCCGCTACGCCACACGACCCCACATGGTTGTGTGAAAACTTTTGGTTTTACTCCAAATATGGTCATGTGTGCATTGCCGATGTGTACTCTGTACAAATATGGTCAGTAAATGTAGCCAATCAGCAACGGGCAAGAGGCGCTACCTACTACGATTGTACAGATAATGTTATCTTTATTTGCAAAACCATGCCCGAAGGCTAATTGCTTTTACAGTCAAGTATACTTCTCAGTGCAATACAGTAATAGAAGACAGGTAACAACTGTATGGAAAAACTTCTACTTCTACTACTACGCTAGCTATTATTGGGTTCGACTTCTTCTTTGAAGGCAGTGGATAATGAATAGTCCCACATTCTGCATACTTAGTGGGTTTTGTGATCTTAGTAAAAATGTAGTCTTTTGGTGATCTTCTAAATGACGAAAGGAACGAGAAATTGTGGTAACTGTCTGAAATAATCTGTTTCTATCGGTCTCATAGTGAGGACACTGGCTAACAAAATGTGTTTCATTTTCCTCTGCATTTTTGGGGCAATATTTTCATAATCTCTCGTGCACAGGTAGTTTTTTATAGCGGCCTTTTCCTATCTCTAGTGGATGCGCACTTATTCTAATAATAGTCGGGTTAAGAAAGATCCCATCCAAATGGTTTACTAGTCCATCGTTGCAACACAAGTCCAGCTTATAAGTTCCAAGTTCCAAGTGGGCAATACATTCTAACATATCTAAGGAAACATCCTGACATCGCGATGCGTGTTTTTCCTTTTTATTTTCGGTATTTTGATTTGATGACAGATTACAAGTATCCTGAATACAATAACTTCGTCTGTCGTTGGTTCTATACTGTATTCTATCGAGTCATTAACAACACATCACACTCATACTTTGCTCCACAACTTTTATTTATTTCTTAATGACAGCTGCCAATACACACTCGATGTTCACTTATAACACAGACATCGTGTGGAAAAGTTGACATGTTATGTTGCGAACAGGGCTTGTAGACACTTGGCTACACTCGCTTTGCCTCCGACCAGCCTTCAAGGTCACCAACTTTCAGGTCCTTGGAAGAGAAACAAAAGGAAATTAGTTATTTTTAATGTATCCTTTCTCTCTCTCCCTCTCTCTTTCTCTCTCCCTCTCTCTTTCTCTCTCTCTCTCTGCGCGCGCTTGTGTGTTCTCTCTCTCTCTCTCTCTGTCTCTCTCCCTCTCCTCTCTCTCTCCCCCTCTCTCTTCT